AGGGTCTAGGCCCGAAACGTCAGCCTTTCTGCTCTTATGATGCTGCTTGGCCTGCTGTGCTCATCCAGCCCTGCACCTTGTTGTCTCGGATTCTCCAGCATCTGCAGTTCCTACTATCTCTCACCCATACAAACACTTGTGCATACACTCACTCACTTTCTCACACATGCACACACACAATGTCACATACAAATCCTCTTACACACACTCTCACAAGCATTTTCTCTAATACAGCAACAACTTACATTGATATAGCACCTTTAATACACTTCCCAAGGCACTGCACGAGAGCATTATAAATCAAAACATGAGGCTGAAACATGTAAGGAGTCATGTAGGTAGCTAACCAAAGTATGTTCAAAGAGGTAGATTTTAAAGAACATCTTAAAAGAAGGAAACAAGTTGGAAGGGGGATTGCGGAGTTTGGAACTCAGGAAACTAAAGGCATGGCCTCCAAAGATGGTTTGTTTAAATTCAGGAATGCTGACAAGACCAGAAATCGGAGAAAGACCTGTAGGTAAGCCTGTTGAATAGGAGGTAGGAGGCTGTTGGAATCAGGCAAAGTCCACGGCAAGCCAAGAGGAGTAATCCTGCCCCTTCTGACCCCATGAAAGCAAACACTTTGGAAGTCTCGAGGTCTTCTTTCTTGTAACTGAGTGGCTTCCCACATTTCCGTTAAGGACCTCTGGCCAAGACCCAGAAAAAATTGAAGTAATGGCAGGAACAAACGCAATGACTAAACTCTCACACAAATGTGCTTACTCTTCGATGTTGGCCGTGACAAAGGGTGTAGCACTTGTGTCCATGACCCGGAGACATGAACCCCAAAATAAAACAAGGCAAGTACAGTGATGCCTGCGTCCCAAGTGCAGCAGTGAGGGACAGCACTGAGGTACCGTACTTTGCATTTATTCGCCATTAATCTTTCATGGGATATGAGTATTACTGCATTTGTTGCCCATCTTAACTGTCATTGAGCTGAGTGGCTTTCTAGGGCCATTTCAGAAAGTAGTTAAGAGACAAACACATTACTGTTAGTCTGGAGACACATGGGAGCGCCAGCCCCTGCAAGTTCCGCTCCAAGCCACTCACCATCCTAACTTGAAAACATATCACCGTTTCTCCACTGTTACTGGGTCAAAATCCTGGAATTCCCTCTCTAAGGGCATTGTGGGTCTACTTACAACACGTAGAGTCATAGATTCATAGAGCATGAAAACAGACCCTTCAGTCCAACCAGTCTAAACCGACCATAACCCCAAACTTAAACTAGTCCCACCTGTCTGCTCCTGGCCCATAACCCTCCAAACATTTCTTATTCATGTATTTATCCAAACGTCTTTTAAACGTTGTAGCCGTACCCACATCCATCACTTCTTTGGACATTCATTCTACACACAAACAACTCTCTATGTAAAAAAATCGCCTGACTTATCTTTTTTATAGCTTTCTCCTCTCACTTTAAAAATATGCCCCCATTCTTGAAATCTTCCACCCTAGAGAAAAGACACCCGACATTCACCTCATCTATACCTCTCATTATTTTATAAACCTCTGTAAGGTCACCCCTCAACCTCCTACACCACAGTTAAAAAAGTCCCAGCCTATCCAGCCTCTCCTGATAACTCAAACCATCCATTCTGGGCAACATCCTAGTAAATCTCTTCTGAACCCTTTCCAGCTTAATAATATCTTTCCTGTAACAGGGAAACCAGAACTGGACACAGTACTCTAGAAGAGGCAGTTCAAGGAGGCAGATCACCACCACCTTCTCAAGGGTAACTAGGGATGGGCAATAAATGCTGATCCAGCCAGTGATACTCACGCCCCATAGGGGAATAAAGAAGACATGTAAGCCAGACAAGCAAAGGATGGCAGAATTCCTTCCCTAGAGGAGATTAGTGAACCAGAGGGTTTTAGCAACAATCAATAATAGTTGTCATGTTCACCATTATTGGCTTTAATTTCAGATTCATTCGTTAATTGAAATTAAAATCCACTAGCTGTTGTGGTGGGATTTGAACCCATGCCTCCCAGAGCATTAACCCTGACATCTGGGTTTCCTTGAAAGTGGAGTCACAGGTAGACAAGGTAATGAAGAAGATGTTTGGCGTGCTAGCCTTTATTGGTCAGTGCATTGAGTAAAGAGGTTGGGAAGTCATGTTGCGACTGTACAGGACATTAGTTAGGCCACTTTTGGAATACTGCATTCAATTTTGGTTTCTCTGCAATAGGAAAGGTGTTGTGAAACTTGAAAGAGTTCAGAAAAGATTTACAAGGATGTTGCCAGGGTTGAAGCGTTTGAGCTATAGGGAGAGGCTGAAGAGCGGGGACTATTTTTCCTGGACCATCAGAGGCAGAGGGATGACCTTATATAAGTTTATAAAACCATGAGGAACATGAATAGGGTAAATAGCCAAGGTCTTTTCCCAGGATATGGGAGTCCAAAACTAGAGGGCATAGGTTTAAGGTGAGAGGGGAAAGATATAAAAGGGATCAAAGGGGCAACTTTTTCATACAGAGGATGGTGCGTAAATGTAATGAGCAGCCAGAGGAAGTGGTGGAATCTGGTACAATTACAACATTTAAAAGGCATCTGAATGGGTTTAGAGGGATGTGGGCCAAATGCTGGCAAATGGGACTAGATTAATTTAGGATATCTGGTTGGCATGGACAAGTTAGATTCAAGGATCTGTTTCCGTGCTGTAGAGCTCTATGACTCTACTAGCTTACTGATATCACCATTGTGCCACCATTATTTCCTAGTCAAGTTGTTAAACCAAGTCCCTTGGTGCCCTCCCAGGTGAATGTAAAAGATTCCCTGGAATGATGTTGAAGAACACTGGGGCAGTTTTTCCCAGTGTTCTGCCCAATATTTATCTCTAGGCAATGGCCTAGTGGTATTATTGCTGGACTGTTAATCTAGAGACCCAGATAACGTTCTGGGGACTCAGGTTCGAATCCCACCACGGCAGATGGTGGAATTTGAATTCAATAATATCTGGAATTAAGAATCTAATGATGACCATGAATCAATTGTCAGGAAAAACACATCTGGTTTACTAATGTCCTTTTGGGAAGGAAACTGCCATCCTTACCTGGTCTGGCCTACATGTGACTCCAGAACCCACAGCAATGTGGTTGACTCTGAACTGCCCTCTGGGCAATTAGGGATGGGCAATAAATGCTGCCTAGCCAGTGACACCCTCTTCCCATGAATGAATAAAGAAAAGAAAACAGCTGGTTATTGTATTGCAGTTTGGGGGATCTTCCTGCAAACAAATTGTATGCCAGTTTTCCAAATGAAATCACACATCAAAAGCACTGAACTGTTTTGAAGCACTTTGAGACATCCCGTGATCATGAAAGGTGCCATATAAATGCAAGATTCTCTTCGTACAACCACTGGAAAAGTGGCTTTTAACAATACCCTTATAGTGACGTGAAAGGTAAAGTCACCATAATCCTAGAGGAACACAGGGCCGCTCTCTCATTAAAGAGAGACAGTTGGTGGTGGTTTAACCTGAAGGTCACCATGCCCTGGATGAGGGGAGAGATTGAGAAGGTGGAACCTTCATGTTAACCTCATGGTGCAATACTTGTGATGTATACATTTTCTCAACAATTTTTCCCAATCAACTACCTTTGATATCATGATTCTAGAATGGTGACAATCTCATCCTGAAGTTTTTGTTTGTAATTTGATTGATTTATTCCTCCCAGAGAATTCACTGTGTTCAGATCTTCTCACAACCTGTCCAAATGGTTTTTCTCTTGTACTTTTTTCTCATTTTTCAACACATTTAGTTTCTTATCAGATATCTTATCTTAACTTTGTGTCAAACATTTTCCGAACAGTTTTGTAATCTGATCATTTTACTAATCCCCTTTCATAAGGACTGACAAGTGTTTCTGTGGAGCACAGGAGTAGGCCATTCAGCCCATTGTACCTATTCCTCCATTCAAACAGGTCATAGCCACCTCTATGCTATGTTCGCAATAACCCCCATATCCCTTGCCATCATTGGTATCCAGAAATCCCTTGATTTCTATCTCAGACATTCTCAATGACTGAGCCTTCTGGGTAGGGAATTCCACTCTCCCTGTTAGGTACGCCGTTCCAAGACATTTGCCAGGAAAGGTGAACGACTGGTGACATGTTCCCAAGTCAGGATGGTGTGAGCCTTACAGGTTCCTATGCATCTACAGAGCTTGTTCTTCTGGGTTGTCATTATTTGAATGAATGAATGATTTATTCTTCATATATCTAGGGAGGTACAGTAAAAAGTGTTCTGTCACCACAATACTGAGACATTTTGAGGCACAAAAGAATAAAAAGCAAATACTTATTTGGAACATATTGTAGGAGAAGCCTTGGTGAGTTGCTGCAGTTCATCTTTTAGATGCTGCACATCGTAGCGGTGATGTGTCAGTGATGGAGGGAGCAGAGGTTTAAGACGGTGAATGGGAATCAAGTGGGCTGCTTTTCCATGGATGGTATAGAGTGTTCTTGAGTGTTGTTGGGGCTGCACTCATCCAGGCAAGTGGGCAGTATTCCATCACACTCCTGACTTGTGCCTTGTAAATAGTGGACAGGCTTTGGGGCATTGGTGCAGGAGTTGTTACTCACTACAGAATTCCCAGCTTTCTCAAACCATAATATGGAATTGGCTGGTCCAGTTCAGTTCCAGGATGTTGATAGTGAGGGAATTCACTGATGGTAACACCACTGAATACTGAAGGCAGTGTTTAGTCTCGCCCTTGCTGGAGATTATCATTGCCTGACACTTACGTGACATGAATGTCACTTTCCACTTAATTGAGACGCGAGAAGTGCTTTTAAAATCTGGGAGTGCAAGAGTCCAGAATCGGAAGAGCGTAGAAATCTTGGAGCTTTGCAAGTTTGGAGGGGATTATAAAGATAAGGAGGGAGAAGGGATTTGACAACAAGGACAAGAATTTTAAAATGGAGATATTGGTCAACCTGCCATCAATCAGTGAGTGACGGAAGAATGGAACAGTGTGAGCTAAAATATGAATGGCAGAGTTCTGAATAAGCTCAAGACAATGGACAGTAGGAGATGTGCTGGAATTGTCTAGAGGGGGCAAGGGAATGGATAAAGGTTCAGCAGCAGATCAGCTGAGGCAGGCACAGAGATGTAGAAAGGTGATCTCAGACACAGTACAGTTGTATGTTTGGAAACTCATTTGAGACACCAAAGTTGCAAAAAGTCTGCTTCGATCTCAGCTGATAGGGAGACGGATAGGATCGGGGACAAGAAAACAGTGTTTGTGGTGGGGACCAAAGAGAATACCCTCCCAGTATTTAGTCGGAGAAGATTTCTGCTTAGCCAGCATGGAACATCAGGCCAGCAGTCGGACAGTTCTGAAAGAGCAGAGGGGTCAATGGTGTGTGTGGTGATGTGGGGAAGACAGAGGTGTGGTGGTAACTCACATACTGGCTGCCACACCATCGACTGGACTTTACCACAACCTTACAGCTCTGACAATGGGACTGAGAAGCAGTGGCAGGAGAAGGCTGCAGGGATTCAAATGTTGCATCTCCATGAGGACAGAAAGGACCCTTGGCTTGGAGGAGAAACCCCACTGGAGGGTTTGCTGGGGCCATTGAGTTCTCATAGTCCTGTCCTTGGGACATAATGCCTCCAGTTCCAATGGACCCACCCCCAATCCAAAGTTTACCTCAGTCGCCTCCAGTGACATGGCCAAATGGTGTGGGGCCCTTTGCACCAGCGACCCAATGTCAGAGAGTGCAAAATATCCCCTAAATGAGGCATTAACCATTGGCTGCCCAACTCAGTAGCGTGGGCAGCTGATCCAGTTCTTTGCCCATCCAATGGAAATTTCCCAATGATTAGGAAGTCTCAGGGAGCCCTCCTGATACGACTTCTGCAAGAAACTCAGGATAACACCTCCCTGTCTCTCTCAAACCCCTGTCTCCAGGGGGAAATTCCAGTCAAAACGTCTCTGTCAGAAACACTAAATCTCGTGCCCAAACTAACATGCACAGAATCAATTTTACACACATCAACAATCATGGAGACTCACAAACATGCACTGTAACATGCACACTCACGTATGCACACTAATGTTTATATTTAATAATTGTAAAACAAGGAAGGTGTTCGAATGGTATTAATATCACTCGGCTAATGCTGTGAGGAGACGGGTTTAATTTCAGCGGCAGAACTTCAATTCAATTAGTAACATCTGGAATTGAAAGCTAGTTACTGTCCTGCTGACCATGACAACTGTTGTTGATTGCAGTGAAATCCCATCTGGTTCACTTGGTTCCTCTTTAGGGAAGGAAATTTGCCACCCTTATTCAGTCAGGCCTACATATGATCCCAGACTCACAGCACTGCAGTTAACTGCCCTCTGAAATGCCACTCAGTTCAAGGGCAACACATGCTGGTCCTGTCAGTGGCACCCAGTGGTTAGCACTGCTGCCTCACGATGCCAGGCACCCAGGTTCAATTCCACCCTCGGGTGACCGTCTGTGTGGAGTTTGCACATTCTCCCTGTGCCTGTGGGTTTTCCCCCGGTGCTCCGGTTTCCTCCCGCAGTCCAAAGACGTGCAGGTCGGGTGGATTGGCCATGTTAAATTACCCTGTAGTATCCAGGGATGTGCAGGCTGGGTGGATTTGCCATCAGAAATAGAGTTGCAGAGATAGGGTAGGGATGGTCTTCAGAGGGTTGGTATGACTCAATGGCCTGCTTCTGCACTGTACGGATTCTAAGAAATAATTGAAAAAAAAGTTGCGAACTGACTCATGCATGCATACAGATGCTAACACACACATAACAGAATCTGAGTTTTGCCCCCACTTCGATCATCACTTTCAGACTGTCCCTGGAGCTGTGTATTTGGGTACGGTTCAGATGAAAGAACTTGCAAGGTGCTCAGTGCTACTTGCCAATGGGGGACTGTCTGCTGATTTAATGTGATTGTACCCTGCTCTCTCCATTAGAAGAATCTGCCTCGACTGTCTCCACCACTCCAGATTCCACCCCGTCCTCTACTGAAGGTAAGCCACATTCCTTAACCCTTTCTGTGCCCATTTCCTGGTGCTTCCCAGCAACTGGCTTTTCTGATGTTTTCCTGTTAGCTGGAAGATGACAGGTGTGGGGAGAAGCTGGGTTTGGGGGATTATGGAAAACGGTGGGTAGGTAGGAGTTAAGGTTTTGATAACACAGAAAGCTGGAAAAGGCCGTTCAACCCCTCGAGTCTGCTCCACCATTCAATAAAATCATGGCTGATCATCTATTTCAAAGGCATTTATTTGCCTTCCCTCTCCTCACATCTCCTAATGTTTATCATATCTGGAAATCTATTGATGTCTTTCTTGAACATCTTCAACAACTGAGCTTCTACATCCTCGGAGTGAAGACATTCCTCCTGATCTCAATCCTGAATGTTTTATCCCTTATATTGTCCACTGGTTCCTGACATCCCCAGCCCAGGGGTAAACATCCTACCTACATCTACCCTGTCGAGCCCAGTAAAACGCTTCAATGAGATCGTGTCTCATTTTCTTGTTCTCAGAGGATTGATCAGAATCAAATCCTGGGGTGTGAGGCTTAAATTAGGGCTTGGGCTCTGTGAACATGTACTGCCTTGAGTGTAGTAGATTGAAGTGTCATCCACATTTGTGATTGTTCAATAAATATGTCTATTATGTGGTAATTTATTAAACACCCTTTGAGAGTCCATATGTACTCGACCACATTACCCTCATCAACCGTCTCTGAATTATTTCATCAGAGTCCAGTCAAGTTTATCTTTTAATAAATCTACCTGATCTTCAATTTTTAACCCATGTTTTTTCCAAGTGACTTCAATTTTCTCTTGGATTATTGTCCCTAAAGTTTTTCCCACCCCTGATGTTAAACTGATTAACTGTCGTTACTGGGTTTTCCCTCTCCCTGTCTTCAAACAAACCCTCCAGTCCTCTAGCACCAAACCCATCTCCCAGAAGGATTGCAAGGTTGTTACTGTAGCCTCTACAATTTCCACCTTTACTCTCTTCTACTTTGAGCTCTTTCAGTTATTGAATTTCATCCTTATGATGTACTCTTCTCCTTTCCAAGTTCTCCATGACCTCCTTCCTAACTGTGACATTGGCGGCATCCCCACATTTTACTGAAGACAGATGCAAAGTACTAATTTAGTACCACAGCCCTCTGTCTTCAGAGGACCTTTGAGGTCCTTAATTGACCCCACTCTTCTTTTGACTACCATTTTATTATTTATGTTTATTACATTCTTGAAGGGAGGTCTTGTGGCACTCCTGCCTCCGGATCTGAAGCTTTGCGTTTAAGTCTGTCTCCAACACTTTCAGGGTTCACAATGTGGCCAAACAGATCGATTATCAACGTGTAAATCTTTCCATAACATACCAATGGTGGGGAAGGGTAACAATGGGAGTGATTACAGGTCACCTGTGATGGAAACGACATTGGTGCCCCTACTGTCACTATTCATAGCTCCTGAATACAACACATATATAAAAGTATGTGTTACCACAGCGACTGAGATATCTTGGGGAATTCAATTGAATGTTCGATGTGGATCTGATTAGTGCCAGCAGCGTGGGGTTCATTCCCCGTTCTGATTTGAGAACTGCCTCCTTGCACTACCTCTGGTGGAGGATGCAGAGTTTGTGGGCCAGACCTGCCTTCAGGCAGAAAACTGAGGAAGTAAAACATTTTTAACAATTATTGCTAATCTGTTTTCGTGCCTTGTCTTTGGCCTTTTTATTTGTTAATTCTCGTTTGCAGTTCTATGCTTGGAGAGGTAATGGCTTAGTGGTAATGTCAATGGGCCAGTAATCCCCAGACAAATGTACTGAGTACACAGGTTCAAATCCACCATAGGAGGTACACTTTAAAAATCGGGAATTAAAAAGCTAGTCTATTAATGACCATGTAACTACTGTCAATTGTTGTAAAAATCCATCTGGTTTGCTAATATTCTTTAGGGAAGGAAATCTGCTATCCTTTCCTGGGCTAGCCTACATGTGACTCCAAATCCACAATGATGTGGCTGACAATTAACTGCCCTCTGGGCAATTAGGGATATCCTATACAATAACACCCACATCCCATGAATAATCTGTTTTAAAACACTGCTCAATTCTCTATGTATTAAGAATCTGACATTTGTCTTGAGCTTCCATTTTCTGTTGCATTTTAATGTGTCTCCTTAATCATCCAGGAAGCTCCAGCCTTTCCTTGACCAAAGTAGGAATTTATCTGATTGATATCTGGACTACTTCCTCTTTGAAGGCCTCCCATTGCTCATTTAATGAAATGCTTGTTCTCGAATCAGAACGGGGATTGAAACCCATGCTATTGGCACCAATCAGATCCACATCGAACATCCAATTGAATCCATTGCTCACTTTCTACCTGCTGACCTTACTGTTCATTTAACCCAAGCCAGATCACTAAAACCAACACTCTCTCATTCAGAGACAACAAGGTGCAGAGCTGGACGAACACAGCAGGCCAAGCAGCATCAGAGGAGCAGGAAAGCTGATGTCTAGGCCTGAAACGTCAGCCTTCCTGCTCCTCTGATGCTGCTTGGCCTGCTGTGTTCGTCCAGCTCTGCACCATGTTGTCTCAGATTCTCCAGCATCTGCAGTTCCTGCTACCTCTCTCATTCAGAATCGCCCTCTCAAATTGATCCTTATTCCTTTCTACAACTGTCGCATTCTGTTCAGTCGTATTCTCACTGAATGGAGAAGTAGGTTCAAAGGGCTGAATGGCCTACAACCACTCCTAATGTTCCTATGGTGGTTATGCAGCATTTGGAAATGAAGGAAGAAGCTACGTTTAGGTGGTGATACAGGCAGACAGTCAGCAAGGGAGAGCTGGAAAACCGCAAGATGGTGATTTTGGGGGATACGGGGACAGGGTGGGCCAGTGGGATTGAGAGATAGCGAGACATGGTGCTTCTCCTGTGTTGTAATTGCAAACTAATATCCGCATTCTGCCAACATTTTGATGGGTGGTGCTGGCTAAACCAGGCATGGCCCATTGATATGGCAATCCTGATAATGATAACTTATAAATGCCAATAATCTAAAGATGAATCTTGAGATTTCATATGATGGGACTGGGGTATACGAGACAGAGTTGGGATGTGCAACTACAATGCCATGGTTAGTTTGATCATTGAAGAGCCAAGGTGGGAGTGGGTAAAAGGACTGGCAGTGACCAGGTGGGTTTCCTGCATAGAATTTATTGCCCTTCATGAATTGCCCTTGAAAAGGTGGTGGTGAGCATCTGCCATCTGTAAGGTGTAGGGGCATTCACAATGCTGTTGTGGGGGGAGTTCCAGGATTTGGACCCAGCAAAACTGAAGGAATAGCGATATACTTCCAAGTCAGGATGGTGAGTGGCTTGGACGGGATCTTGCAGGTGGACCCCTGGGTCTTTGAGATGGATTGGGAAGGAGGTGTGTTGGTGGGATAGCTGAATAGGGAGATGGTGGGCAGACGAATGGATCTATCGCTGGGGTGCCGCGCGCTTGTCTTGATTGGCCACATGTTCACTCTCCTCTGTGTCCTAGTGGAGTACTCAGGGGTTTTCCCTGCTTTCCGGCCTGCCCAGGTGCCAGTGAGGACTTCTTGGAACCCCAAACTGCGCAGGAGCATTCTGATGATGATCTGCTGACAGACAGCTCCCTATACTGGGGGACACCCCGACAGATGTCCCTGGAGTCCATGCTGTCCTGCGGAACTCCCCTGGGCCAGCAGCCATCCTGCTTTCCAGGGGGTTTCCCAAGCAGCGGCTCCCCGGAGCTGCCAGCAAGAGGTTTGGAAGAGGCCACCCATGGCCCTGGAAGGAAGAGACCCTCGAAATGCGACGCAGCCCAGACAACAAAAGAGAAATGTTCTGTGCCGAGGGGGGTGGTCCGCACTGAGACAATCGAGACCTTTCTAGCGGAGGAAGAGGACGAGCTGGAGGCCTATCACGTTCATGTTGAAGTGGCTGGCGGACATTGGCACAGCGTGGAGCAGGAGATAATGCCAGAGCCCAGGGACAGCACTGACGGGTATCCCTTGCAGTCCAGCTCAGAGATCCCAGTTTTGGAAAGCATCCCAATCCACCAGGATCCTGAGGAGGACACGGCATCAGAATCGAGACTTGAAATGGAGCCTCAGGAAGAGGGGCGATTGAAGGGCAGCCCAGAGCTTGGGATCCTCCCAATGGAAGAATCCGGAAGCCAAAAGGACGCTGAGGTATTTGAAGCACAGACCATGGAGGTGGAGACTGATAGTGGAAGGTGGATGGAGGACCTTTATTCTGACCAGACCAAGCCCGGTCAGCAACAGGAGGCATCACTGAGCAGCAAATCTGGTGTAGGGACAATGACTGAGGAAGAGGGCGCGCCTTCAGCCTCCTCCCTACAACCTGTCACAGGTAGGTCTGGTCAATGGCTCATTACAGACATCAGCAAGTTACACTATGTGTGGGAAAGATAGCCTGGGGAAGGAGGTTTGGGGGAGTGGGTGTAGGTATATATTCGAGACAGTCACTGCCTTCTAAAATTCAAAATTTGATTAAACATAATGTATTGGGTTTGTTGTGTGCATACATGCAGAGTCAGAGTATTCAGCTCCTAATAGAAATGACACAGGGTTATTCCATAATTCACAACAGCTCTTCATGGAAATCAATGCCTTGATTTAATGAGATCATCTCAAATTACAGGGCTTGGGTGCAACAGACCAATCAGGTAAATCCATTCCCAGGACAGGGACAGCACAAGGTTAGATGCAGAGTGAAGCTTCTTCTACACTGTCCCCATCCAACACTGCCAGGACAGGGACAGCAAAGGGTTAGATACTGATTAATGTGCCCTTGACACTGAACCCATCAAACATTCTCAGGACTCTCTGACCCAGTAGTGAACCTTCACAACTACAGCCTGTGCTGTTTGATTTCAAGTGAGTTGGTCTAAGAAAAATAAACAAACAGTGAAATTCACAGCTGACCTTACAGAAACCTGTGTGGGGAGATCACAGCTGGGGAGCAGCTAAGTGTCTGATTTCTTTTGTAAATCTACAATAGTGAGTAGAGTAGGTTCTTTTTGATTACATGTTTTTATTGAGATCTGTCTTTTGATTAAACTTTAAAAATATAAAACTTAGGTACTAAGTTAGCCTGGAGCTGTGTTTTTAGAGCAGTAAGATTGTGACAACATTAAAAAGGCATCTGGATGGGTATGTGAATAGAAAGGGTGTAGAGCGATATGGGCCAAATGCTAGAAAATGGGACTAGGTTTATATAGGATATCTGGTCAGCATGGACGAGTTGGACCAAACGGTCGGTTTCCTTGCTTTATAGCTCTGTGACTCTATGACAGGTACACAACAGGGTTAGATACAGAGTAGAGCTGCCTCTATTTTTTTAAACTGAAGATAAACTGAAAGTAAAGCTCTCTCCACATTGTCCCCATCAAACATTCCCAGGACAGGGACAGCACAAAATAAATCTCCCTGTATTCTTTTAAACAGAAAGTAAATGTTCCTCAATTCTGATCCCATCAAACACTATAAGGACAATGACAGCATGGGGTGAAATAAAGAGTAAAGATTCCTGTCTTAAAATGAAAGTAAACGTCCCTCGACACTGTCTCCATCAAACACACCCAGGACAGGGACAACACAGGTTAATACGAGTAAAATTCCCTCTACTCTGTTAAACTGAAAGTTGTTACCTCTACACCATCCCTATTGAACACTCCCTGGACAGGTAGAGGATGGAGTTAGATAGAGTAAAACTCTCTAAACACTGTCCCCATCAAACACTCCCAGGACAGGCACAGCATGGGGATAGATACAGAGTAAAGCTCCCTCTACTCAGCCCCCATCAAACACTCCCAGGACAGGTACAACAGAGGGTTAGACACAAAGTAAAGCTCTCTCTACTCTTTAAAACTGGAAGTAAAGCTGACTCTACACCACATCCATCAAACAGACCCAGGACGGGCACAGCATAGAGATAGCAAGAACTGCAGATGCTGGAGTCAGAGATGACCCCTTCAGAGTCCTGACCCAAAACGTTAACTTTCTTGCCCCTCTGATGCTGCCTGGCCTGCTGTGTTCCTCCAGCTCCACACTTTGTTATCGGGCACAGCATAGAGTTGGATACAGAGTAAAGTACCCTGTACTGTTTTAAACAGAAGGGAAAGCTCTCTCTACACTATTCCCATCAAACAATCCCAGGAGAGATACACCACAGGGTTAGATACAGAACAATGAACCTAAAGCAACATCATTTCCATTGTCAGTGAGGAATTTCTTGATTGCTATGGAAGTTGGTTGAGTGCAGATTCTGTAGCCTGTAGTGTGGGGAATGCAGCAGGATGGCTGCTGGATAATTGTGCTGACGTGTGGCAGAGGAAGTGTCTCTAGACTTTCTGTCCTGGCTCTATTGCAACCTGGGGAGCAAGGTGGGGGGCCAGAGGCTCTGGGACAGCAGACAGTGATCAGCTGAGGGGAGGGGCCCAGCCAGGTTTCAACGCTTCATGACCCCCTCTTCTCTCCGCGGTTAACCCTTATCAGCAGGGATCAGTGGCTGGTGAATGGAGGCCGGAAACCATGGCTGATTTTACACTCCTCCCCCACTTCAATCCAATGGCCCTGAGTACAAAGGTAGCCCGTTACCATTGCTTACAGCCCACCAAGGTGTCAGAAAGTCCATTCTCCTCCTTTACGTCCAAGACCAGTAAATACAGTAATTACACAACCAGAGTGAATAAACTGGGGGTAAAATGGGACATGAGTAGGAGGACAAAACAACTGGGATCACCTAGGGTCACTCAGTTCTGAAGAAGGGTCACTGGACCCGAAACACTAAACTCTGCTTTCTCTCCACAGATGCTGCCAGACCTGCTGAGCTTTTCTAGCAATTTCTGTTTTTGTATCACCTAAGGTGTCCATCACGCCTCCTGCTCTGTATACAGTTTCACCAATATCACTGGCATTGAATATTCCACATATAATTGGATAATGTAGGCCAGGCTGTTTTATGACCTCTTCTAAGTCCAACAGTGGGAATGTCACCGGACTCATAGTCCAGAACCTCAGGCTAATTTTCAGGGGATATTGGTTCGAATACCGTATTATCAGTATTGGAATACTGTGTGTAGTTTTGCTGTCCTTATCAGAGGAAAGACATTTTAGCTACAGAGGCTGTGCAACAAAACTTTACCAGCCTGATGCTTGGGGTGGCAAGATGAAGAGAGACTGGATCAGTTAGGACTATATTCACTGAAGTTTAGAGAATGAGGAGGGAATCTCAAAGAAACCTATAAAATTCTAACAGGATTGGACAGGGTGAATGCAGGAAGAATGTTCCCAAAGACTGGGAGGTCCTGATCCAGTAGTGTCAGTCTTAACATATGGGATAGGCCATTTAGGACAGAGATGAGGAGAAATATCTTCACCCAGAGAGTGGGAAGCTTGTGGAATTCTCTGCCACAGAAAGTGGTTGAGGCCAAAACATTGAATATTTTCAAGAAGGACTTAGATATAGTTCTTGTGGTTAAAGGGATCATAGGGTGTGGAGAGGAAGCAGGAACAGGAGACTAAGTTGGATGATTAGCCACAATCATATTGAATGGTACAGCAGGCTTGAAAGGCTGAACAGCCTATTCCTGCTCCTATTTTCTATGCTTCTATGAATCACGCCACGAGAGATGAAATCGGGAATTAAAAACTGACCCATCTAGCCATTGTCATAAAACCTCACCTGGTTCACTAATGTCTTTTAGGGAAGGAAATCTGCCATCCATACCTGGTCTGGCCTACAGGTGACTCCAGGACCACTGCGCTGCGGTTTACTCTTAACTGCCCTCTGGGCAACTAAGGATGTGTGATGAATGCTGACCTAGTCAGCAACACCTACATCCCATGAGAATTTTGTTTTAAATTCACCCTCCCACCTTTCTTGGCATTTGCAGGATCATTCATCCAGATGGATCTCTCGTGAGCTCCCTTTAATGGGTATGGTGTTTTAGCAGTGCAGCACAATTACAAAGACAAGTGTGTCTCACTCGGGTGCCCTCCCTCTGTCCCTCAGGTTTGCTCACTCAACACTCACTCAGGGCAGTGTCACTCCCACTGAGATACAGACATGAGCCTGCTTATAAATACATCCCATGACCTGTCCTGGAAGCTGGACGAGGCTATAGTCACACAGTGGATAAGAACATTGATGAAAATCCCTGTTTCTCATTTACAGAAGCCGAGAATATGGTGGTTGAGCTGGAAGTGATCGGAGCAGCAGGAGTTGAGATAGCGACAGAAACAACAAAGGTGAAGAGCTTGACGGACACGGTTGAAACAGTTGGTTCAAGAGATGGGCTGGAGCCTGTGGAAGTGATGGGCACCGTAGAAGCTATGTTACCAGGAGCATGTGACTGCAGCGTTTACACAGATGATACCATTGTCTGCCAACACTCACTCACCCCGGTCACAGTGCCAAGTGTGAATGAAACTCAGGAAGTGACAGATGTGGAGATGTGGGCAGACAATTGGCAGTCACCACGGCAACCCAGTGCCTTCGAACAATCAGATCATCCCAAATCACAAGGCTTGGAAGCAGTAGACCAATCAGGTAAATACATTGTCAGGCTGGGACAGCACAGGGTTAGGTACAGAGTAAAACTCTCTCTATACTGTCCCCACCAAACACTCCGAGGACAGGGACAGTATGGGGTTACTGTCAACAACAAATGCTGGAGATCACAGGTCAGACAGCATCCATGGAGAGAGAGCAAGCTAACGTTTCGGGTCTAGATGACTCTTCACCACAGTTGATGTGACGTGTGGAGGGGGCAGCATTTATGCTATGGTTTGGGGGGAAGTGTTGTGGGCATAGGGTGCTGGCAGACAAAAGATGTTGATAGTCCAGATTAAGTGAACAGGATGTCTCCCATAGCCAGTCATGTTAACACAGTGTCCTGCTCTCATGCCCACATGTCTGTCCTCAGCATGCTGCAGTGATCCAGTGAATCACAGTGCAAACTGGAGGAACAACATCTCATCTTCTGACTGGGTACTTTACAGCCTTCTGGACTTAATATTGAGTTCACACCTTTAAACTGTGAACTATTTCTTCCCTTCCTTTTATCTGGTTATCATGTCCTCCCCTATCCCCATCCCAGTTACAGTCCTTTCTAATCTGGCAGGTAGACACACTATTGTTCTGCCATTCTCACATTCTAATCACTTAATCTGAGCTATCAACATCTTTTCTCCACCAGCACTCTACATCCACTACAGCACACCCCCAAACCACCACCCAACTACAGTATAAATGCTGCCCCTCCACACTTCATTTTAGCTCTGATGAAGCGTCTTGTAGACTCAAAACATTAGCTTGCTCTCTCTCCAGCTGTCTGACCCGCTGAGATCTCCAGCATTTGTTGTTTTCAGTACAGATTCCAGCATCTGCAGTAATCTGTTCCTACTGTATGGGATTAGATACAAAGCAAAGCTCTCTCTACTTTTTTAAACTGAAAGAAAGTTCTCTCTGCCCTTCTAAACTGAAAGTAAAGTTCCATTGACATTGTTCCTATCCAACGCTACCAGGACAGGTTCAACACAGGGTTGGATATAGAGTGAAACATCCACTTCACTTATCAAACACTTCCAGTACAGGGACATCATGGAGTTAGAGACAGAGTAAAATACCTCTATACTTACCCCATCACGCACTAAATCCCAACTTCACTTAGTGCCCAAGGATCTGAATTTTAAGGAGAGTCAATGGTTATATCAAACAGTACATGAAGGCAAAGCTAATCCTTTATGATTCATGGTAAATCTCAACTTCCATTATGTTCCGCTGGTCAAGCTCTCATTCTTCACCATCCATTAACTTCACCTTAACGAATCTCTGTGCCTTTACTCAAACCAAGTCTCTAATCTCTCATCACCCTCCCTTGTGCTAACCTGCATTAGCTACTGGATCAGCAACATTTTAAATTTAAACTTAGCATCCTTGTTTCCAAATGTCTCCCTGACCCCAAACACTTTCCTACCTCTGTCACCCACTCTCTTTCACTCCCTCCAGACCCCATCTCCCTATCTGTCTCACTCCCTCTAGACCCACACGCCTCCCTGTCTCTGTCACTCCCTCCAGACCCACACTTCCCTGTCTCTGTCACTCCCTCCAGATCCACACACTCCTCTTTATCTCTGTCACTCCCTCCAGACCCGTACCTCCCTGTCTCTGTCACTCCCTCCAGCCCCACATCCCTCCCTGTCTCTGTCACTCCCTCCAGACTCACACCTCCTGTCTCTGTCAACCCTTGCAGCCCCACACCCCTCACCATCTATATCACTCTCTCTATCAGTCCAGATTCAGGTATACAGTGTGTACAGTCTGATATCAGTCTGCATCAGATACGTACTGTGTTCATTCGATAAAAGATTTAGTGTCTCAGTGTCGTTTATGGCCATTCAACCCATCAAGTTCATGCTGTTATCCCACACAGCAATCCAGCCAGTCCTACTCCTGTAAGTGATACCCATGTGACTGACAAATTTATTTCCTTCTCATTCCCATCTGATGTTCTTTTGAAGTCATTGATATTCTATGCTGGAGTGGTCCCAGTGAGGAGGGTGTGCTCCTAATGTAGGGAGATGGAGAAGTTGTGACTGCTCTGCTCAGGATGGAGAGGGGTGAACAGGATTTGGTGATGGTTTACATGTTCATGAAGGGATCAATTGAGTACGTTAGGAAAAACTGTAGTGTAGCTACAGAATGAAGAATTTATGGTAATTTGCAAAATAATAGAGATGGCACAAGAAAACATCTTTCTTTTTCACACAAAATGTTGTTGCAATCCGGAATGTACTTCCTGAAAAAAAAGGAAGCAGATTCTACAGTAACATTCGAAAGAGAGTTATGTAGAAACATGGAAACTAGGAATAGGCCATAAGGCGTTTTGAGCCTGCTCACTATTTAGTATGATCATGGCTGATCCTCTATCCCAATGCCATATTCCCTCTTTCTCTCCATATTCCCTTGACACCTTTAATATTTAAAAAGATATCAGTCTCTTTCTTGAATATGTCTCGGAATATGTTCAGTGTCTCGGCCTCCACAGCCTTCTGCAATAGAGAATTCCACAGGTTCCCCACTCTCTGATGAAGAAATGTTTCATCATCTCAGTCTAAATGCTGCATCCTGAGATGTGTCCACTGGGTTAGACCCGTCAACCAAGGGAAAAAGATCCTTCTTGTATCTGGCCTGTTAGAATGTTATATGTTTCAATCAGATCCCCCTCATCCTTCTGAACTCTAATTAGTGAAATACTAATGAAGGGAAAACGTTGACAGAGCTTTGAGTCTTGACTGACGGGATGTGATTAATTTTGACGCAAGAGCTGGCTCAGATATAATGGGGCAAACAATCTCCTTCCAGACAGTATCACTCCGTCACTAAAAGGGCTGTGGGTGTACCTAACCCCGCACCCCACCTCCCCATTGGACTGCAGCGGTTTAGAGAGGCAGCTCACCATCACTTTCTCAAGGGGCAATTAGAGACAGGCAACAAATCGTGACCCAGCCAGTGATGCCTACATCCAGTTAAAGAATGTGAAAAGATCAGAGCTATGTGTCAAGGTTTGGCACTGAAAGAGTTACACTACTCAATGAAGGGTGTTGCTGGGCAATGCTCCATCTGCAATCTCATTGGTTATGGAGGATACTGCAGCATTTACAAAGCTGGCTGGTCCCTCCCAACTGTATTACAGGATCAGGGAGAGAGAGAGAGACCTGCCTTATCCCAACTGTGCAGAGGACCACGGCTTCAGCTACAATCCCCGATACAGGCTGGTGATGGAGATCAGGTCCGAATGTCCAGGGATGGAGAGCGTGTGGAGCTCCTTTCTCTGTAAAGAAAAGGGTATTGAATGCTGCTTGCTTCACAGGGTCAATCGCTAAATGCTGCTGGCAAATTGTGGGGAGGGAGAGGAAGGTGTGGAGAAGAGGAAAGGGGCAGACAAAGGGAGAAACAGAGACAGACAGGAGCATGAGGATAAAGAGTGAGGCAAAGAAACAGAAATGAGACAAACAGCAAGACAGAGAGAAAGGCAGAGAGAGAGAGAGAGAGACACACACAACAGGGGATAAAGAGAGAGATATAGAGAGAGGCACAACAAGAGAGACATAGACAAAAAGCAAGACAGAGAGAAAGGCAAAGAGAGATAAATGGCATATCAGAGGTAGACAAAAAGAGAGATAAAGAGACAGACAAAGAATAAGAAAAGACAGAGAGACACACACATGAGGGAGACAAAAAAGAGAGACAGAAAGACAAGACAAAGAGCAAAAAAGACAGAAAGACACACGCAAGAAGACAGAGAGGGAGAGCAAAAGAGACAGATGAGGAGCAAGACAGAAAGAAAGGCAAAGAGAAAGGCGCACACAAGAGGGAGTCAGAGAGATAGAGAGACATAGACAAAGAGCAGGACAGAGAGAAAGCCACATAAGAGGGAGACAAAGAGAGAGGGACAAAGAGAGAGAAAGAATAAGATAAAGAGCAAAAGGAAGAAAAAAGCAAAAAGAGGCACTTGGGGAAGGCAAAGAGAGAAAGGGAGACAAATGAACAGATTAATGAGACAAAGAGATGAAGAGATTGACAAAGGCAAGAAAATATGAGGGAGGAAATAAGAGAGAGAGAGAGAGACAGGGGCAAAGAGAGAATCGGAGACAGAGAAGGACAGAAAGAGGAGGGAAGTACAAAAAAAGGGTGGGGGACAAAGAGATGGATAAAGAGGGAGAACACATTAAAGCAGTGCTTTAATAATTAGCAGGAAGAAATAGGAGAAGAAATGATCCGTCAATAGAGATGAGGCTGTCGCAGCGCATTTGTGAGACTGAGCTGACATAGACGGAGGAGAAATGGAGACAAAGAAACAGGATGAGGTTGGAAAGCAATCAAATAGGCGCAGAGGCTGGGAGCGAGTCAGCCACAGGGAGAGAAGCATCAGTCAGCAAATGTCTCCTGAGATCAATCGATTCGATTCATTGTCTGCCATCTGCTTCATATTTCAGGTTTACAGGAAGTTAAATCAGTGTTTTTGCCTGCGCCTCAGGTGAGCTGGACATGGGTCTGTTACTGCCTCACTTGTCAGGTGCCACCAGCAACAGTACAGCAAAAATATACTATCTGAGGGCATCAAATAAGAAATCGCTCCGATACCTGTTGCTACGTGTATCTGGCACTAATCCACAGGGACCCTGAAAGACCTAATAACATGGGGAAAGGTCAACAAGAGAATAACAGAAATGGTGGAAGAATTGGGAAGAGAGTGACAGGGAGAAAAGAAGAGAGAAGTGAAGTGAAGATAGCGAGAAGGGGGAGAGAGTGAGAATTAGGGAAGATATTAGAGCAGGAAGAGAGAGACTTTGCAAAAAGCTAAGAGAAAGAAAGTGAAGGAGCGGGATGGATACAGCTGGAGAAAGAGATGACAAGAAGGTGTTCAAAATGAAAGTGCAATAGACTGGGAAAGGGGAGGAAAGAATCAAATTCAGTAAGAATTTTTAAAATTCTGAAAGAAATGGAGAGAGAAAGGATATAGAGGTGAAGGGAGAGAGAAGGTA